CTTAAAAGGACAAGTTTACATAGTAACTATTTAGTAATTTTTAGTTTAGCTCTGTCATGTGTTTTACTTTTTGTTTTATTTTTATAAAAAAATAAAAATATTTTTATTGGAGATTTTTTTGTTGTGAGATATCATTGAAAATAACGGTTTATGTAGGTACTTTTGTTTATGTATGTCATATTGCCAGCAAGACTTAAGGTGGATATACATTTGTCTGATGTATCGTGACGTGACGACTGACGCGTCAGAACTGTATCGGTTCCATACATAAACCATCACAACACGTTAAGCAGTAGTGTGAACGTTACCATACTAAATGTATAAAACCGATAATCCACCTTTACATGTGTTGTTGTTTCAAGATCGCTTGAAAATGCGATTTAAATATAACTATAGATAGTACAGTAGGGCGCGTCTACACCATGTTCGCAATAAAACAAAATGTACCTACTAGCTACCATGCATGAGATAAAAGTAGATACTAGTCTGGTCATTTCTGCGCCCCTCCAGGGTCTGCGCCCTGTGCCTGGGCACTGCTGGCACCGCCTTAGTTACGGCACTGTGTCCTACCCAACACTACCGTCCACTTGTGAAGCCTTGTGAATATTAATGTACCCTCAGACCAAATAAAAAGTAAAGACGGAGTCTGCCGAACAAAAAAGTGAAGCCGGTTTTTTATGTATGTAGTGCATTAGCCAGTGTTACCATAGTCATTTATAATACCCCAATATTAGAAAAATGTAATAACGTTATTTCATAACGTTATTAATAACGTTATAAAATATTAGAAAAAAATATCGTAGGCTTATTCTCTAAACTAGTCCAGATTAGTTTCACACTAGCGCTAGATGCAACCTCTCGTGAGCCAAAGGTCATGCGCTTGGAGATCTGGGGTTCCTGTGATTTATAAGTTTAATAACTGTTACACTAATAAAAGTTTAGTTAAAAAATATATAATAAAAACAAAGCTTAACCTTTGGAGTTTTTGGCGGGATTTCATGGAGTGCGGTTAGCGTCATATTTTAATTATTCTTTAATTCGTTCATAGTGAATATTGTGAAATAAAATTGGTGTAATTTTGTGTTTCAACCGTCTGCACGAGCGAAGAATTATTGTAATCTTTAAAATAAAAATTAACCTAAGTAACCATATTAAGTTAAGTAAAAAAAATACCTTTGGATATGCATTTTATTTTACACGACGTTACCCTTTTGTTGTGTAGTACAAATCGTCGCTCTAAAAATGAGTCGAACAAACGCTGCGGGAAGGTGGTTGCCACAATGGTTCATTTCTACTCTTACGAAAGACTGCAATCCACTTCTCTTTTAAATTTTGATCTCGAATAGGAAATCGTAAAAAAAACGTATAATATTTAATGTGTATTACATCCCAAAAAAATTATTCGAATAATAAAGAAAAAAGATAATAAAAATGTTTCGTGTAATTGTTTATCCATGCATTACAATATTCGAAAAATATAAAAGTATGCTACACAATATTTAATAAAATAACGTTACGTTATATTTCACGCTACCCAACAAAAGGGTAGAACTGTAACGTATAATCATGGCAGCATTTCGTTCAGGTTTTGTTTACAAAACGACAACCTCAAATTTTATTTTGATTAATTGAAAATATTAGTTTATAACTTTACTTACGTAGGACATGTGATTCCATCCCGTTTTTTATTCTTGGGAGATTGGTTTCTACACGTTTTCACTACACAATTCGGCATTTTCTCTAATAAATATTGTTATTTATTATTACGTCACACTCCGCGCGCCGGGATAGCTCGACTGGGAAGCCAAGGTGTAGTTTCGTTGCATGTGTGTGCGTGTAACTGTGTATGTACACGGCGAGGCGTAGTTTTATCGGCTTCACTGTTTTGTTCGGCAGACTCCGTTTTTACTTTTTATTTGGTCTGAGGAATTACGGTAATGGTGTGGATTGATCACACATAACAACCGACTTACTATACAGGGTGGCCGGGGAGTTGACGTTCAAGCGTAAAATTTAGATACTTTATGATGAGGAGTATCAAAATCACCCCCATGTATGTTCTACGATTTTGCGTAGTTTTCGAGTTATAAATTTTTTAATGATTATTTTCGTAATTACCTCCTAACATCCGTTTTCGATTTTTTTCTCATTGTGTTGGACGTTTCTGGTTCAGTTTTTTTGTGATAACTGACTAACATAGTCTAATCTAGCACCCTAAAACTTATGGTTTATCTAGGCATTGCAGAATTCACTTAGAATTTGTTCGAAAGTTCAAAATTACGATTTGAGCTCAGTACACACAAATTTTCAAAGTATCAAAAAAAATGTAAATGGGGGATTTTGAGTTCAAAGTGCTTTTAGAAACTTCCTGAGACATTAAACTTTCAAACAAGGTCAAATAAAGAAACGGTTAATGGGGGTTTATTTTCTCTAACTGACCTTCAAAGTAAATTAAGGCATTTTATTTTATTTAAATCTTTGACTTTCTATGAGTTATGATGGATATGAGTAAAATGCAGTTAATTGTGAACAAAATACATTAATTTAAAGCAAATTTTCAAAATTTTGCCGTCCCACAGAAATACACAATCTAAATCTGCGCAAAAAATTATGTTTTAGGTGCATAAAAGCTTCACGGTTATTTTTGACAGTAGTTCCAGCTTCGCGAATTTTTGCTCTCAGTTCTCATTCATGTACACATGACAGTCAGGGTAATGATCAGGTTGCGCTCCGCCTCGGCGTTGAAGTTGATCCCCGTAGAAATAATGCATTTCTGCATATTCACTCAGAGTGTAGGGCGTCACTAGCACTTCCAAGTAACTACAGTCCAAATCGTTAGGCACTACGGAATCCAGTAACAAGCAGGGGTCAAACAAGTAAGCAGCGGCGGTATCAGTAGGCAAATAGTGGTCGAGAAAAAACGGCAGTACAAGACGAGTAAGTAAGTAGTAGTAGAATTTAAGTCATTAACATCTGTGTTTTACTCAAATCCATCATAACTGAGAGATAGGCAAAGATTTAAATAAAAGAAAATAATTATTTTTTTTTCTTTGAAAAATGCCTTAATTTACTTTGAAGGTCAGTTACAGAAAAAAACCCCATTAACCCTATCTTTATTTGGCCTTGTTTTAAAGTTAAATGTTTCAGGAAGTTTCTAAAAGCTACTAAACAAACTTTGAACTCAAAATCCCCCCATTAACATTTTTTTTTCATACTTTGAAAATTTGTGTGTACTGAGCTGAAATCGTAAATTTGAACTTTCGAACAAATTCTAAGTGAATTCTGCAATGCCTAGATAAACCATAAGTTTTAGGGTGCTAGATTAGACTATGTTAGTCAGTTATCACAAAAAAACTGAACCAGAAACGTCCAACAGAATGAGAAAAAATCGAAAACGGATGTTAGATGGTAATTACGAAAAAAAACATTAAAAAAATTATAACTCGAAAACTACGCAAAATCGTAGTACATACATGGGGGTGATTTGGATACTCCTCATCATAAAGTATCTAAATTTTACGCTTGAACGTCAACTCCCCGGCCACCCTGTATAACTAAAATATTTCTTGGATAAGATTATTGATACGCCCGCCAACACGCCAAAATGGTATTGCAGATTAGTAATAAATCTAAACTTGTTAACATAAAATAATGTTGCTTTATTTTATTAGCGCGCGAACTGGCTAGGAGCTAGGCTACTATGAGCGCCATCTGTAACCTTTTACAGATAATTATAACACTGCTTTTGCCTTCTATCTCCTAAAAATATCATAGGTAGATGCAGATTTGCTATTCGCTACTAGAGGGCAATATAAAGCAAAACTATGAACAACATGACCAAAGACATTACTATCTTAAGAATGATCTAGTAGCAGGAAGTAAAAAAATAATGGATTACTCTCTGTTGTGATTGTTAATAATAATGCACATTGATTGTTATCAATGTAGAGCGTTAATAACTCTAACATTTGTGATTCAGCGACTAGTGCAAGTGCAACTGAGGTTTATTGTGAAAATATTGAAATGCAATATAACAAGATGGCTACCACTATGTATAAGGGTAAGTGCACAATGTAACTTTTGGCTCTTTTATAAGTATTATTTCTGTATCACGAAATCAAATATTCTAAACTGTCGCAATCATGTTTTCAATTTAACATGTACGTACTAAATTGACCTAAGCGACAGGTGTAATAATCATCGCCTATGAAATAAAGAAAAACAAAATATGGGTTCAAGTGGTTTCACTGTTGATGTGTTTTCATTTCTGGCTAATTTTAACCGAATTGTGTGCACGGCATCGGCAGTATGGAAAAAAATCATACAAAAAATAACTACTTTGAGATAATGGAATATGAAAGAAAGAACACGAGTCATAATATCAGTGTCGTTTTACTGTGACAATACGATGCGTTTCTGAATCACGATCAACGTTGGCATTAGTTTTTCTACTCCTCGCTAGAGGGCAGTAACATGGTGGGCTGGTGACTCATCGGTAAACAATGAACAATACCCGTATAATGTAGTGCTTGGTGAGTGATAACGGACCCAGCGCGGATTATTGGGTGATAATGGACCCAGTACGGATTGTTGGATGATAACGGACCCAGCGCGGATTGGTGGGTGTTATAGGACCCAGTACGGATTGGTGGATGATAACGGACCCAGCGCGGATTGGTGGGTGATATAGGAGCTAGTGCGGATTGGTGGATGATAACGGACCCAGCGCGGATAAGTGGGTGATAACGGACCCAGCACGGGTTGGTGGGTGATAATGGACCCAGTGCAGATTGGTGGATAATAACGGACTCAGCGCGGATTGGTGGGTGATAACGGACCCAGCATGGGTTGGCGGGAGACAATGGACCCACTACGGATTGGTGGGTGATAACGGACCCAGTACGGATTGGTGGATGATAACGGACCCAGCGCGGATTGGCGGGTGACAATGGACCCACTACGGATTGGTGGGTGATAACGGACCCAGTATGAATTGGTGGATGTTAACGGACCCAGCGCGGATTGGTGGGTAATAACGGACCCAGTGCTGATTAGTGGGTGACTTGGGAAAAGTCGCAGAATAGTCTTGGGTCTTTCTGCGATTTATCTAAAGCCTTTGATTGCGTTAATCATCAAACTTTGTTACGGAAATTAACTCATTATGGCATAAAAGATTCCGCACAAAAATGTGTGGAATCATCTTTAACAGAAAGGACACAAACAGTTGATATTAACGGTACAAACTCAGCCGGATCTCATGTGAAAAAAGGCGTTCCTCAGGGTTAAATTTTAGGTCCATTTTTTTTAATTTACATTTCTTTGTACAAAAATTTTGGGACGTTCTTTTGTTTGCAGATGACACCTTACTGATCAACATTGACAGATGTAAAACTAATTATGACGATGTAAACAATGCACTTTCTAATGTACTCCACTGGTTCTCTACTAATAATCTTAAACTTAATGCGAACAAAACTAAATGTGTGAAATTTACTTTGCCGAATGTAAAGCATGCTGAAATGGGGGATATAATTCTAAATGGTGAAAAACTAATTTTAGAGGATACAACCGTTTTCTTAGGCGTAACACTGGAGCACAAACTTCAATGGAATCCTTACATTACAACACTAGCCGGTAAACTTAGTTCTGCTGCTTATGCAATTCATAAAATAAGACGGTATGCAGATGTCGACACTGCTAGGACTACGTACTTTAGCTACTTCCACAGCATTATGTCGTATGGCATGCCATTGTGGGGCATGGCCGCTGACATTGAAACAGTTTTTATTCTTCAAAAACGAGATATAAGAGCTATTTATCGCTTAGGATCTCGAACTTCTTTTAAGGATACATTTAAAGAAATAGGTATAATGACTGTTACCTCTCATTACATTTACAATTGTATATTGTTTGTACGTCAGAACATAAATTTATATAAGAGGCGCGATGATGTACATAATTTCAATCCCAGAAATAAAGATAAACTCAAATTGCCACCGTTGAGACTCCAAAAGGTTTTTGGTTCATTTGTGGGTCAAGGTATATGTTACTATAATAAAATGTCAAAAGTAATAACTAATTTACCTTTTTGCTAATTTGGTTAAAAAATTGTTTAAACGCCATTTCTAAATTTAAAAATAGTACCTAGCTATAATTAACTTTTTGTTAATTAATAATATTAATGTGATGAAAGTTGACATCAAAATATGTTTTCAATTTTTGATGTCATCTTTCAATTGACGACACTGTATGAAATAAAACAGGGAGAACAAGAATAGCCCTTGCTGAGTTTCTTGCCGGTTCTTCTCAGTACAAGGTCTCCCGCCGTAGATTTATGGGTCAGCCAGCGCGGATTAGTGGGTGATAACGGATCCAGCGCAGATTGGTGGGTGATAACGGAGCCAGTGCGGATTGGAGGGTGATAACGAACCCAGCGCGGATGGGTGGTTTTTCTTCTATCAAAAAATCTTCAGGTTAAGTTTATGATTTTCAGATCATTAGAGCTAAAGAAGTTTCACTTCAGTCGTGTGGTGATCATAAGCACCTTCGTTTTTTTTTGGTCCATGATCACGTGATTGAAAATTACCTGGGATTGGCCAAGACTAATATGACGTCGCACGCTATTTTTACCCGGCTGCGCAATGCAAGAGCGCGAAGCGCGACGCGCAGACAGGGTTATGTGTTTAACAGTCTATATATGTATGTTTGTTCCTTTGTGGCACACAAGAGACCAAACGCCTGGACCGATTTTGATGATTCATACATCAATTCGTCTCAATCATGGGAGTGCTACTAAAGATATGATAGTAATCAAAATTCAATATGGGCAAAATTAAGCGCCATATTGTGACGAAGTAAAAAAAAAAAGTTGACAAAATATGTCGAGTGGGGTATCACCGTCTAGATAATCAAAAATCATATTTAGGTTCCTAACACCATTTTTCATTTTATATGATTGTTTAGGATCTACAACGCTTTAAAGTTGTATATTAACCACTTACGCTTTTAATTTCAATCTTACGTTTGTATGGATCTTTGTTATTCTTTCACCTAAAAAATACTGAATGGATTTTAATAAAACTTAACAGTAATATAGTTCATATATGATAATTACATATATATAATAATTTATGTAGTTATTGAGTGAATTGGCAAATATATAGCAATAAGTGTCATATAAGACGGAAAAAAATGTCCAGTCTGCGAGCCATTTTGGCCTGCACTGCAAAAACAATAAAAGTTACATGAATCTAATGTAGAGTGAAAATGTATCTCTCAAATAGTTCTAAAAAAAAGTCCGTGACACCATATATCTATTTTTAATATGTAAGTCATTACCGCTAAAATAGTGAATCAAAACTAAAATATTATTTGATATCTATTTCCAAAATGCACATTTATACAGTATTAACAAATCATTTTTTATCAAAACAAATACTTTAATCGCTTTTGATATTTAAAGACGATAAACTTTGCTTTTTACACTATGTCATTTCGACTAATATTTAAAAAGTTACAACGATGACAAAGTGATAGCGCGGTGTACTATGTAAAAGAAAAAAAAAGGGGTATTCGCAGTATCTGATCCTATACGAAGTACTAACATTAAAACTGTGATTTCTTATTAAATGATGAAAAATATATTATCATAATAGGTATTTATGATTATTGAATTTTAATGAAAAATTCAGAATTTTACTGTTTTCATTTTTTTAACGATATTACTTAAGGTTACAAAAAAGGTTTACTTAATATAATGACAAATAACCCATTTTTCGCTAGTAAGTACATACTTATTGGAATCCCTGTATTTATTAATCAGCTCGCGATAATATTGGTTTTGTAATAATTCTGCAAAATTCAAAGTAAATAATGTAGATTTTTATAGGTAAATCACCCCTTTCATACCCCTATATAAGTATTGCGATGTTGTAGCTAAGAACCAAGTTCCCATCTACTTCTATATGGGAATTCATTATATTCGATTTAGCTATTAGGGCACGGAAGCGCAACAAACAAACTCACTTTCGCATCTATAATATTATATTATACTTACTAGTGATCCACCCGGGCATTGTACGGGCGAAATTTATTTATCGGGATAAAATATAGCCTATGTCACTCAGACAAAATGTATTTAAATAAAGAAAAATGTTATAATAAATAATGTAGCTACCTTATGATGAATTGATATTTGAAACCGGTTCAGTAGTTTGACAGATTATTTGTTACAAACATACAAATCTTGCCTCTTTATAATATTAGTATAGATAGTTAGGATAAGATAAGTATTTAATTGATGAAAAAGATTTAAAAATAAAGTAAGTAATAGGTTTATTTGATTATATTTGTAAAAGTTACTTAGCATTTGTGCTTAACAGTGATACGTTATTCGGTATTTTTATAACAAAAAAAAATTGGAAAATAATTGCCATGATTGCACTACTGGGATTACTCTTCATTCGAGCTTTACACTACCAATAAAAAAGGGTCGAACACAAAGTCTTTGACCTGTTAAATGTGAACGCTTTAAAAGAAAACTACAAAGAGAACTATAAATTGATAATAAATGAGATTGCTATGGTGCTCTACCTAACGTTATGAAAATTTTATTATGCGCCTTTAGTTTAATCAAATATTATAAACTTTGCTTTGGTGATTGCATAATTATTTAATTTAGTGATCTAAGACAGTTGCCACCATTGTCCAAAACAACAAATGGGAATTACTGCTTTCTTCAACCTGCAACATAAACGTCATTGATTGGTATTGTATATAGGGTGATTAAAAACATTTGAAGTTAACTTCTGGCATCTACATATTGGGTTTCTGTGAATTATGTAGGTATATCAAATTATGAGACTAGGGACTGACACTGAATTTGTGTATATCACAATCTTAGACGTCCGGCATTGACATGACAATGCAGCCACTGCCAATTTTAAATAGTCGACGAATAAAAGTAAATGAATTTTATATTTACAGCTAAACTATTAAAAAAAACATAAACAAAAGATGACTTTTTGAGTAAGTGCTAGTTTACTATAAAATTTACATACATTAGAGATATTTATGTAACGACTTGATTTAACTTCACACATTTTTGCGAAAATTGAAGCCCATCTGTAGCCTTGACCTCGCCGGTAAAATCTTTATATGTCTTAATAAATCAATCTTTTAGAGACCGACGCAAGGTACGTAATAATTCCCGCGATATTAATTCCCTTACTGAAGTAACAAGACACACTGTTGAAAAATATTATGTATTCTTGAATATCTAATGGGTCCCGACTGTTAAAGTAGCTTTGTTCCTTATTAACAGAATTATAGACTACTGGACTTGTTTTTTCTTTTCAGTTTTTATTTGAAGAATAACGAAGCAGTCGGGTTTTTTGATTTTTTAAATTTTCCTTTTTTTATGGATTCCATAAACATTAGTAAATAACGTAAGATAGTTTTCTAAAACTTTTCAAATACCTTATTGCAACATTACTAGTCAACGGTGTGAGGAAGCGTGATTCTTGAGGTAGACGAAGCCTTAAGGAATCACTTTGGAGTGAATATGTTGGCTTTAAATCGCAGGTGCTGAGATGGTCCTACAGATTGATGACGAAAACCAGTTGACCTTCGCATCAAAATATGGCAGATCCATGTATGCTCAAACACCTACAAAGCTACTTTATACATACAGAACCGCAAAATTGTGACCCGTAAAATGTAGCGTATGTCATCAAACTCATGCGTTTCCTGGAGATGAGGTGCTACGCCATAGACTAATATAATAAATGGGGTACGACAAAGTAGAGATTCCGAATTAAGAAGCACTACCTTTGTGTACTAGACTGACAGTGTAGAAAACGACGCTATAGCGCGTTTCATTATTAATGTCGGAAGAGCCACAATAATTTTTGTTCTCAAAAGAACTGGATTATATGGAACTACCCAGCAGTTGTCAATCTCTACTCCATTAATGTCAAATGTAAAGCTACCTATGTCTGAAGAACGTCTTTTTATATGCTGTCCGTCGTCTTCGGATGGTGTTTCACTAAGTAGAGGCCTGGAATACCTCTTAGAACTATTTTTGTTTTTTATACAAGCATGATTGAATGAATTTCCAAATTCCGAATTTCCAAAAAGTGATCGTGGCGCTTACAACAGTGCCAAAATATCGGAGAATCGCTAAAAACAAAAAAAACATGCTAGCAATCCCATAAATAACATAAATTACTACAATTGCCTGGTTCGTTTCTCAGTCCCCGTTGCGTGTCTCATACGCTCACCAGCTACTGGTACAGCATATCTGAAGAATAGGCCAGAGGCTATAGCTTTCCCTCAGGGAGCCGTGCGTTTTGGTATTGCCGGGTTTCCATCGCACCACTTTGAAAGGCTTATGGCGCTCTGGCTCTCCGCGAACAACAAAGCTGACCTACTGGTTAAACTCTTCGCTTCCAACTTGACCTTGAACGATGGGAGGCTACTCCTTAAATAATTCTCCATTGTGGAAGTTGTATGCCTGAAATGTGCATAATTCAGCGAACTATTTGGCGTGAATTAGTGGGCCCGACGGCATTCCTGCAGTGGTGCTGAAGATATTCGCACCTGAACTTATCCCCATCCTTTCGCGCTTGTATTGCTTTTTAAACAAAAATATCTTCGTTCCAGCTACCTACGTGAAAGGTTGCTCACGTCCACTCTATTCCTAAAAAGGTAAATCAGCCTGACCCTGCAAATAATAGGCCTTTAACGATCACATCTCTGCTTTCTCGATGGAGCGGGTGATCAACATGCGCCTTTTGAGGTACCTTCAGGAGTATCAGATAATGAGCGACCGTCAATACTGTTTCAGTCACGGTCGTTTGGCTGGTGATGTTCTTGGTTACCTCATTCGCTGTTGGGCTGAAGCCGTCGAGAGCAAGAGTACATGCAGCATGCAAAGTGCCCTTGCATTCTGAGCCTTGGTATCGCTAAGGCATTTGACAGGGTCTGGCATAGAGTGCTTTCATGAAAGTCACCATTTTATGGGCAACCTACGCAACCCACCTTCTTGGACAGCAGGTGCATTAAAGTCGTTATCGATGGCTGCTGCTCCGAATCCATGACTGTAAACGCTGGAGTTCCATAAGGTTCGGTGCTCTCCCCGACACTGTTCATCCTGCACATCAATTACATGCTGTTAGTTTCGGTTATGCATAGCTATAATCGAGGAGCTTGATGGCGCAGGTGGCTAGCGCGTTCGGCTGCGATCGTTGAAGTTCAGCAACTTTCGCAGTGGTCGGTCATTGGATGGGTGACCAAAAATTTACTATCTCGAGCTCCTCCGTGCTTCGGAAGGCACGTTAAGCCGTTGGTCCCGGCTGCATTTGCAGTCGTGAGCACCCACCAATCCGCACTGGGCCCGCGTTGTGGGTCATGGCCCAATCTCCCTATTCAGTTAGGTCCTCTTGACTATATACAAAGACAGGCGTTTGGATGTCGATGATCCCAAGCTGGCAGAAAAGTTGGAGCCCTCAGAGATGCACAGAGATTTTGGTCACCTGTGCGTATTCTACAGGACCTTTATGGTGAGTGCTCTGAGGAGTTGTTTCAGTTGATACCCAGGTCACCATTATACCTCCGCACCACCCGTCATCGGAGTCTAGTGCACCCAAATTACCTGAAACATATAAATCCACAATTGCTATTTTTCAGAGATCTTTTCTTTCACGCATAATAATATTATGGTATGAGCTCCCTTCCACGGTGTTTCCTCAGTGTTTAGCACAAGCATGGTCCTTTTCAAACGAGGCCTAAAAAGAGTGTTCAACGAAAGGCAGTATCATCGCTGATGTCTATGGGTGGCGGTGACCACTTAGCATCAGGAGGCCCGTCAGCTTGTCTGACTTCGAAGACAATAAAATAAAACAGAGTGTCAGAAGAAAAGGTCTTGGCGAAGCAAGAGGGAAATAATAAGGAAAAACAACATCTCTTTCCTTAATTACTTTCGTTTTTGAGCAGAGCGTTTTCTGGTCCCCTGGCTAGAGTCTACGTGTGCCTGTACAGATCACATTCTGGCGATGTTGAGACAACTCGACTTTTTGAACACCTTAGTCGGGCAGCAGATGACGCGCAGGAACAATTTCCTAATGCAGAATTGGTGTTTTGGGGGACTTTAATGCTCACCACAATTGGTGGTTAAGTTCCTCGAAAACTAACCATGCAGGGATCGCTGCTCACGCATTCGCTATCACGCATGACTTGAAGCAACTGGTCGATCAGCTCACCAGGATTCCAGATATTCCAAGTCAAGCGCCTTAATTACTGGACCTTCTGCTCACGACCCATCCACAGGGCTATCAGGTTGTGGTAAGAGCCCCCCTGGGCTCGTCGGATCACTGCCTGTTATCTGCCGAAGCGCCACAGGCCAAGCCTCCGCGTCCAACGGTGGTCAAACGCCGGATCACTATGGATCGGTATGCGTGACTACTTTTTGTCCGTCCCTTAGAAGCAGCGCTGCTTCAGTGACAGGAACCTATTTGTCAGCGCCGTTGCTATGACTGAGGAGATTGTTACAGGTATCGAATGCTGTATATATATAAGGGCACACGTAACCTCTGGCTCAATCATTGTGGCACAGCGATGCTTGATATTAAAATCAGGCAGCCTGAGGTTCGCGCCGAATTGCAATCACTCGACGTCTGGAAAGCTAGTGGACCTGATGGCACCCCAGCAGTTGTACTTAAAAAATGTGCAGCAGAGTTGTTTCCCGTGCTCACGCGCTTGTACCAACGCTCGTATTTTTGGGGCGTGTGCCCGAGACTTGGAGAGATGCTAACGTGCAACCAGTGCCCAAAAAAGGGGATCGCTCAGATAGCCAATAGCAGTCACCTCAGTATTATATAGAGGCCTAGAAAAGGTCCTCAACAATAATATAATCAGATCCTACCCAAAGGCTCAATCCCTGATTAATATGGTTTTAGACCGAAACGATCGACGGGTGATCTTCTAGCGTACTTGACTCGTGTCTGTGGTGAGGCTATCGACAAGCGGGGCGAGTCGTTGGCTATCAGCCTTGACATTTCCAAGGCATTCGACAGGGTTGGGCACAAAAGCCTTCTCTCCAAGCATCCGGCATACGGTCTGCCGGCCCAGTTCTGTTCCTGGTTAGCTGACATCCTGCATGAGCGTAGAATTCGTGTTCTTACGGATGGTAGTAGTTCACGGTACATGTTAGTGAATGCTGGCGTTCCTCAAGGCTCCCTCCTATCCCCCACTCTCTATCTGCTGCATGTCAATGACTTAATCCTCTTGGGAATATTCATTGCGATCCGCATCATAGGCGATGAGGAGTTGACTAAACACCTCAAGCCTCTTCAATTATGTTGTGTCGTGGCGTCATTAAGCGCGTCCTATCGTCTGTACCACAACGAGTGTTCTAAGGAGTTATTCCCTCTTATTCCACCTTCCCCTTTCCTTCAGAGGACCACGCCCGCTGGCCTACGTTTTCACCGACTAATTGTGGCTACTATTTCAACGCGTACGAAGAAATTTGGTGACTCATTTCTTCGTCGCACTATCCGTAAATGGAATGCTCTGCCCGCTCACGTGTTCCCTCCCTCTTACAACCTGGGATCCTTTAAAAGAGGCGAGAAGAAGCAACATGCATGCCGGAAAGGTAAGGATGGTTGGTGTGGCAGGTAGAACTGTTGTACCAACTATCTTCGCGTCTGGACTTCACCGTCACTTAACATCAGGTGGGGAGTCATCAATATGAGAGTGGCATAGCATCAATCAGTGTGGAGATCTTTGGGGAAGGCCTATGCTTAGCAGTGGGCGTCATATAGTTGAGATCATGATGATGATGTGTAAGTGCTCTGCCAGTTTATGGTTAGCTAGCTTCTCGCGCCTTCTGTGAACCACAGTTGAAAATCGACTTTGTGAGAAGAGATGACGGAACATGTAGCTGTATATATAGATGTACCTACATGCTCCACAGAAATTACTTGTTCAACATTCAATTTTGATAATCTATAACTAGATCTCAAAATGTCTCATTAATATGTATTATTATTAAAATTAAAAGAAATGTCATTAATTCATAGTTTTCATGTACGCCTTTATTCCTGATGCGACAATCTTAGTCTTGATACTAGCAAATTTATATTTCGGGTAGTTTATTCTTTTACCCAGCACTAGATGGCACTAGTTATATTACTTTTCTTGCAATGTGATGTCGCTATTCAACAACAGATGGCAAAATAATGTACGTAAATTAATTTTTTGACAGCATTGTAATGGAAGGAAGAAACAGCCCAGTTGAAGACCATTACGACTTATTTTATCATTTGGAAGTTGATATGATTATTTTAGAATATTCAGTTCAGTTAGAAAATTAAGTTTTAAGCGTTAAGTTATCCCTCAGTTTCAGTAGTTAGGCATTTCACATAATTTGCATTTATACAATTCTAGTGTATCATGACAGGTAAATTGTGGTCAATTTTAATTTTTTTAATTAAGTATCTATAACAAAGTATATAAATAAGTATATTATGTCAAGATATTAAAATTTGACCAAAGTTTGTTGGGGCGGGAGATTTAACTTTTACTAACCTTCAATTTGAACTTTCTTTTTATCTTCCTAATAATAAGTAGTTGCTTTTTTGTAGGCACTTGTTTACTCGTTGATGATGTACTTATTTAAATTCATATTTTGTTCGTTTTTCCAGGTAACTCAGGAATGATTGAAGTAGACCCGAAACTATTTATTACTTGTCGTTTATGTTTGGAAGAAATGGGTGTTTATCAAATTGTACCAACTGTACAGCAGCAGATAAAATACTGTTTTGAAATAACTGTAAGTATTATAATAAGAAGTTGGTACCTATTCAAGGCTTTAAATGTTGTGATAAGTAGGTAATAGCTTTATTAGTACCCACTTCAATGTTGAACTATGAAAATTATATTTATTTACTTACATTTAAGAAGTGGGAAACTAATATTCTAATAGACCACACAGTAAAATTGAATAAATATTATGATCTTATCAATGAAATAACCAAAAATCTTAACTTGTAATTCTACCTGATAGGTTGCAGTTGTTTTTTTTTATATTTTTGACAGGCAAGTCTATGTCTGTCAGGGTAGCTAGTTTTCATAATAGATATTTAGATAGTAGACCGGGAGCTGGTGACAGGTGACGTTCCACAATTTTGTCGTGCATGGCTTTTAAGGCTTGATAACTAACCCTAAAATATCAATTATAGTCGGGGTTTTATTATATCGGGGATCATAAAATAAAATAAAAAATACAAATAGCCTTTATTCTCTGATATAGTTATACATACTATTTACTAACTAGCCGTATTACTAATTTCCTATTGCTACAATTTAATATAATTTTACATTGCTTACACTAATAAAAGAAAATTGGTAACACCAGCACTATTTTAATCAGGTTGTCCTTCTCTAGAATTTTCCATTTTTTCCGATCTCTTGCTAATCTGCGCCATCCTTGTGGTAGGTCATCCTCCCATCTTCTTTGTGGCCGCCCTCTTGTCCTCCTTCCATCTCTGGGGTACCAAGTTGTATAGATACAACCTCTTTGGTCCATTTTTCTTTGGGGGATCTGATCACATGTCCAATACAACGCAATTTAAGTCTCCTTATTTTTTTGGAAATTCTGCCACACCTGTGATTTTTCTAATTCTGCTTAGTCTCCACTTGTCTTTCAAACGGATGTGCAGCATGCTTCTCTCTATCCCCTGCTGACATACCTTGAGTTTTTGAATGTGCGCCTTTGTCAGGCCGCAAGTTTGACACCCGTAGGTAAGTATTGGTAGGATGCACATGTTGAATACTTTACGTTTGATTGGCATTGGAGTGTTCTTATTCTTCAATATTTCTTTCAGCGACCAGTAACGAGCCCAGGTGTTGTTTACTCGTGTTTGCAACTCTTTGTCCATCTGCGAATTTGGTGAAATTATTTGGCCTAAATATGTGTAGTCATTCACATACTCAATGTCATGATTATTGACACAGATTTTTTGTTGATGTCTATTGGTCATCATATCTTTGTTTTATTTGTGTTCATGGTCAGACCTGCTTTTTGACTTTCTGTTGCAAGTTGTAAGAGCATTTCCTGTAGAGTGACTGGGTCCTCCGCAAACAGTATCAAGTCGTCTGCAAATCGCAGGTGTGACAGCCTACATCCATTAATATTTAGTCCCCTCTTTTCCCAATTTAATTTTCTGAAAATTTCCTCTAGCACAGCTGAAAAAAGCTTGGGAGATAGAGGATCCCCTTGTCTGACTCCTTTTTGGACTTTAAATTCCTCTCCAATTTTTTCTAGTTGTACTTTTGCCGTGTTGTTGCTGTATATATTCTTTATGAGTCTAATATACTTATTTTCTATTCCTTCATTGAACAAAGCTTTATATATGTAGTTATGAGATAGCGAATGAAATGCCTTATTATAATCTACAAAGGAAATATAATATGGTTTCCTGTACTCATTGTACTTTTCTATTACTTGTTTTACGACATGCATGTGGTCTACCGTTGAAAAATCTGCTCTGAAGCCTGCCTGTTCTCTTGGTTGTTCCGCATCTAGTCGTTTGGTGAGCCTGCCTAAAATAATTTTCGAAAAGACTTTGTACAAATTTATCATGAGGCTAATGGGTCTATAGTTGTCTATTTTGTCTTTATCACCCTTTTTGTAAATCAATATTATAGTTGATTTTGTCCATTGTTCCGGAATAATTTCACTATCTAAGATTTCGTTAGATAGACTAGTAAGTGTTTTTGTATAGTACTCAATGACGCTTCATCGGGGATCATAGGATTCTGAAAACCAGTGTTTTATAATTTCATGCCGATATAAAGAATGGAAGGTTTATGTAATAAACACACTCTGGAAAAATTAGCATGCACCCCTCGTATGACCAATGGTGGTAAATTTCCGGATAACTCTGTTAAATTTAAACACAGATTTTCCGTGATTCCAAACTGCATGCCATTGAAAGGATACTTAATTTGTATCATTAATTAATAGTAGGAAAATTGGCATGCACACCAGGATGTTACAAAATAGAGGCATGCATGATGAAAGTTGCAAAAAACACTGTGCAAATTTAGGTGACTTGTTATTGCATGCCGTTTTGTAATTCCTGAATTTACATTATTTTAAGTCATGAATGTAAATGGCATGCATGTAGCTACAGTCCAACATACAAAAATTGTGAAAAATATGAATAAACATCAATTACTCAATTGAAAAAAAAAACTGAAATGTGCCGTGACTTCTTCCTGCATGCCGCTTTGTATTTTGTTAATAGATTCTATTGTAAGCTGAAATGCGAAATGGCATGCACGTAGCTTCATGAAAATTGTTTAAATAAACAAAAAATGAAGGTCCGTTTTTATAATTCGTTTTTCTTTTTAATTTTTTTTATGAAAAATTAAAGTACAAAATTATTAGCAGCATCATTATTTTAAACGTTAAGTATTATTAATTATCGTTTAACATCAATTGCTTCATCGTCATCATTGTCAACATTATCATCATCATCATCATTATCATATCGATTTGTGCAAACTTTGACGATGAAGGAATGAAGAATCAAATGATGACGATGACAGCGATTGCCAATCCGATATTGGCTACACTACGGAAGAAGAGTCTGTACATAGCCGCGATGATGTAAATGATAATGTCGACGATGATGATGATGAAGCGATTGATGATAACGATAATTAATAATACTTAATGTTCAAAATAATGATGCTGCTAATAATTTTGTACATTCATTTTTCATAAAAAAAATAAATAAACAAATTATAAATACGGACCTTCTTTTTTTGTATATTTAAACAATTTTCATGAAGCTACATGCATGACATTTCGCATTTCAGCTTAAACTTTAATAGTCACTACTAACAAAATACAAAGTGGCATGTAGGAAGAAGTCATGGCATTTTTCAGTTTTTTTTTTCAATTGAGAAATTGATGTTTATTTAATTTTTTCACAATTTTTGTATGTTGGGTTGTAGCAACATGCATGCCATTTACATTCATGACTTACAATAATGTAAATTCACGAAATACAAAACGGCATGCAAAAACAAGTCACCTAAATTTGCACAGTGTTTTTTGCAACTTTTATTATTATTTCTAATACGATGGAATTAGTTAGTTAGTTCTTCAGGGCGGTTTCCCCACTTAGTCCTAATTATTGGACCATTGTGCGTATCTCAAAAACATTCCCGTTTACTCCAGCCAGCCTATATCGGTCCAGAAGGTAAGCAACCTTGTTAGACTGCTGCAAGCTTCCGGAAACGATTCTGGTGACTGGAGAAATCGTGCCCGTTGGTCGGCCACACCTGCATTCCATGATGACATGCTGTGGCGTTTCTTCTGCCTCCATGCATCCTCTGCATAGGAGGCTGTCCGTTACTCCTATTGTATATAGGTGTTTGTTTAAGGGACAATGACCAGTCAGGGATCCTATAATCCTGCGAAGTTTGTCCCTATTTAGTCTGGTAAGGGTGCGGGCAAAACTTTTATATGCCGCCGGAACCGCGTTTTTCGTTTGCCGGCATCCTTCACCTGTTTTCCACTCCGTCAAGTGTGATTTCTGAGTTATTTCACGCAGCCACGTTTTAATTTGGGCCTGAGGTATGGGCAGCAAAGGTCCCGGACATACACTTTTGTGTCTGCTCCCCTCTTTTGTGTCTGCTCCCCTCTTAGCCAGTTCATCTGCTGCGTCATTTCCAATTGAGCTGCTGTGTCTTTTTATCCATTGCAGAGTTACCGTGTTGCTAACCGCAATGGATTGAGGTGCCTTTTGGCACTCCATTACTAGGACAGAGTTTTTTGTGTTACTACGTAGGGCTTGAAGCACGGATGCACTGTCAGAGATGATCTTGATGTTATACTCTCTGATATCTCTGGCTGCAACCGCCTGTGCCGCTCTTGTAATGCCAATACATTCCGCCTGGAAGATTGTGCTTTGTTTGCCTAAGGTTGTAGATGTTTTTATATTCAGGTCGTTTGAGAAGACACCGGCTCCAGTACCACTGTTGGTTTTGGAGCTATACGTGTATATCCTAACATCCCCGGCGCCAGCGTAATCTGCCTTTTCCGCGGTAAGTTGGATGTTGTATCTTCGATCAAAGACGTGTTGACTCAATATTCTATCCATAGGTGCCTCCAGGAGTGGGATCTCCTTCGTGCACTTTTGTAGAATATTGGAGTGTGTTGTTACAGTATTTAATCTCCATAATCCTAGAGATTTTAGTCTGAAGGCTGCTGCTTTCGCCTCTTCTTTCATGAGGTACTCTAATGCAGCCGATGGAGTTGTTCTCATGCATCCAGTTGCTGCTACGCTCGCCAAGCGTTGTAGACTTTGGAGTGGATTTCACTGTGGTCAGTTGGGTCCTGGGCCACCAAACAACTGAACCATAGGTTATAGAGGGCCATCAGGCCCTGACTGCTCTGTATAACCAAAGGGTGATCTTTGGACTTAGACCCCACTTTTTACCAACTAGTCTTCTACACTGATTAAAAGCTATGCAGGCCCTCTTTGTTTTTATATCAATATGACTCGCCCAATTCAGTTTGTTATCCAAGATTACGCCCAGATATTTCACTTATATACACTACGGTATATACCGCAGTCTTGTCACTCCAGTAAGGGAGTTAATATCGAGGGGATTATTAAGTACCTTGCGGTGGTCTAAACAATAGATTTATTAAGACAAATAGAGACCTTACTACCAGGGTCAAGGCTACAGATGTGCCTCAATTATCGCAAAAATGTGTGAATCAAGTCCTTACCTATAAGTCTAATGCAGTGG